TTCCTAGAGAAGATCGGAGCAGAAAATCTACAATGAGAAGGCACAGAGAAAGCAGTCAAGTTTTCTTTAAGTTGGAGTTTCTGGGCATATTTGCCTTTATTAGTTTCTAATGCCTCAATCTTTTGTTTCAGTTAATATCCAGGAGCACTTTGAGAGGAACAAGGAGGCTTTTATTATCCTTTTTATTAGCACCTGCTATTAGCCTCTAGTGTTTATCTCATGAAGTGTGGCCTCAGGCAGCCCTATTGACCTCCATTTTGTAAGTTTAATTACTGTTGCCTGAAGGGCAGATTTATATGCTGTCTCACAGTCAGGCAGGAGAAACATCCCCCAGGGAGACACAATATCTGTCTCTACAATACAGCCTATAATACAATCAGGCAAAAGAGATGTAACCACAAATTCTATTGACTCTTATACCTTTAATCATAGCTTTCATTAGGACTTTATCAGTAGGTTTTGGTCTCATAATATTGGATAGCAGAAGCATTCCCAGTCAGATATTTTAAAACATACTCAGGCGAAGTTGGTATGCTCTCTTTATATAAAATTAGCTCAAGCGTTCCAACTTTTATAATCTTATCACCATTTATACTTTTACATTTTCTCAATTTAATTGTAGCCTGAGTCAGGGTCTTAAGGCTAGTCATTTTCTTTTTTATTTCTTTTTAGTTTGGCCTTTTCATAGGTACCAGTAAAACAATTATGATGAGCACTCTCAAAATATTTTTTTCCCCCAATTTAGAAGTTTTTCCAATTTAAATGATCCATCCTCTGGCCACATTAACAAGTATGTTTTTGTTTTTGTTTTTGTTTTTTTGGTGAGGAAGATTGTCCCTCATCTAACATCTGTGCCAAACTTCCTCTGCTTTTGTATGTAGGACACTGCCACAGCATGGTCTGACGAGCAGTGAGTTGATCCATGACTGGGATCTGAACCCATGAACCCTGGGCCGCCAAAGCAGTGCCTGTGAACCTAACCACTATGCCACCAGGCTGGCCCCCTGAGCAGGATTTTAAATGTGACTCATAGCAATCACCTTAACCATGGACCCAAGAGGTGTCCCCAAAAGAGATCCAGAAAGAGATCCAGAAAGTTCACTACCAAAAATAGTCTAAGAAAGCAAAGGCCATTCTTGCACAAGCAACAAAGGTTGAGATTACAAAGACCCCTTATGAAAGCAAACTCCCCTGAGAGCTGACACAGCCAGACAAAGAGAGTGTCTCAACCCCAGTCTATTCGACTGGCTGCCAAGATGTGTGCCGGTACGTGTATCCTCTAATGGTGCAGGCCAAAAAGGTCACAAAGCCAAGCTCTTAAGACAGAACAAGACAAAAGAAAAAAGCTCATCTTGTATATATAAGAGCTTTAGCTAAGCCTTAGGTCTCCTGGAGTCAAATTAATACCTAGGAGGGAGGTGCCACAGGGTTGGGGAAGGTGTGTGGTTTTACAGAATACCTTGTCGTTGCACGGACATTTTCTTGAGGTTGCTGGGGGACCTGTGTCATCTACCCTGTTCCGTGACCAACTTAGCCTTTTATAGGAGACTTGAGGTGGCGAGAACCCTAATGGCTCTTAACTGCTTGACCTGTGCCCGCCAAATTTGTGGCCTTTTTGGCTTCCAAGATGCCCTTAGCAACAGCTTTCACCTTATGCACATATTCCCAGACAACAGCCTTACAGTGATACCTGTGTCTTCAGGACAAATGACAAAAGAAAGACAGGCAAAATTGTGACTATCTCTGAGAGGAGAAGGATCAGTAAACCGATGAGCACTCAACCAAATCCTGGAGTTGCTGAGTCCAAGAAGCCAGCTTCACCAATATTTTCTCCTGCTAATCTAAATTTAGAAAAGGAAAGAAAACCTCACCATGCTTGCTTCCAGTGGACCCCGCAGGCAGAGATCCAGGAGACTGAGGTGGTAAGAACTCTTACCTCCTGCCGGCTCTTGTCAGGGATCCAGGAGCGAGCAGTGTCCAGCCAGTGTAGTTTTATCCCATCCAAGTTGCCAAACTGTAGAGGGGGAAGATAAATGCTCTACCCTCTCTAGGTCCTTCTGCCTGTCCTAAGAATTAAGTTGACATGAGACAGAATAGCAGGAGAAAACCAAACAAAGCTTTATGACATGTGTACATGGGAGAAATCTAGGAAAACTGGGTAACTCAGCTAGAATGGCTAAAGCTGCCGCCCTATACCATCTTCAGCTAAAGACAAAGGAGGATGTTGGGGATAGTGGTTTGGGACTATAAAGGAGAGGAAGGCAGTTCACATGGAAATGGTAAACAGAACTTTGAGAACAATGGGCTTAGCAAGGACCCTCACAGTCTACTGATACCCAGAGATACCTATGGTGATGGCCTGTCCTGGGGACAAGCATTTTATCATAAATTCTTGTAGGCCCTTAGGGGGAAGGTCAGAGTTTCTTTCAGAGTCTTTTGTTCCTAAAAATAATCAAGCCAAAGAGACACATTTTGGGTCAGCCAATTCTGATCCCCCACACTTAGCAACTTTCAAATATGCAATAGAGTACAGTCATGTGTCACTTGAAATGTGTCAGGTGATTTCATCATTGTGCAGACATCGTAGGGTGTACTGAAGGGGAACAAAATTTGCCACCCCAAAGTAGTCTCTAGCATGAGGATTATTTTAGACTGATTATTTTTAAGGAACAAAGGACTCAGAAAGTTCTTCTTGTTACCCACCTTTTAACTACATAAAAGAATTCAGATAAAAAAGCCTGTCTCAGGGGCCAGCCTGGTGGCGTAGCAGTTAAGTTCACGTGCTCTGCTTCGGTGGCTCAGGGTTTGCCGGTTTGGATCCTGGGCACGGACCTACACACCACTTATCAAGCCATGCTGTGGCAGGTGTCCCACATTTAAAGTAGAGAAGGATGGGCACAGATTTTAGCTCAGGGCCAGCCTTCCTCAGCAAAAAAGAGGAGGCTTGACAGCACAGCTAATCTTCCTCAAAAAAAAAATTCTACTAATCATTAAATTAGTAGAATTACTAAATAGTAATCACTAAACACTGACTGCATGTATTTAAAAGAAAAAAAAAACCTGTCTCAGGAAGCAAGCTCACAACGTAGCATAACCTGAACTACGTAGCAAATAGTGAGGAACCTAGAAAAGCCCGTTTGTTGGGCTCCCCTCTGTGTTCTTCTGTTTCTGTATGGCCTAACAGACACTTGTTTGCCAAATATTTGCTCCTATCTGTGATTGGGAGCACCTATCTGTGACTTGCCTTCCTTCTCTTTGAAGTCTCTGACTCTCTCCACCCCTAGCATCTTCTTTTGTCTTTAGCTAAGGATGGTATTTGAGGTGAGGGCTTTGGCCATTTTGGCGAGTTACTTGGTTTTCCTGGATTTCTCCCATGTATACATGTTGTTAAACTTTTGTTTGTTTTCTCCTGTTAGTCTTTCTTATTCAATTTAATTCTTAGACCAGCCAGAAGAACCCAGAAGGATAGAGGAAAATTTCTTTCTCCCTTACAGTGCTTGCACAAACCCAGAAGGTATAGTCTACTACACACCTAGGCTATATGGTACTAATCTTATGGGACCACCATTGTATATACAGTCCAAATTGACTGAAATGTTGTTATGCAGTCATGACTATATTGTTAACTATAGTCACCGTGTTGTACGTTCCATCCCCATGACTTGTTTATTTTGTAACTTGAAGTTTGTGCCTTTTGACTCCTTTCACCCATTTTGCCCACAGCCCACCCTCAGCCTCTGGCAACGACCAGTCTGTTCTCTCTATCTATGAGCTTCATTAAAATCTTGTTTTTTTGGATAAACCTGTTACTTTCAAGTTGCTATTAATTTTTACCTGAACTTTCGATATTCTCATTTAAAAATGATTGCAATTGTAATGACTACCTTGAATACACATTTACTAAGCACCTAATTGCCATAGTGTTGAGCCAGTCAATGTGCTCAGGTAACCAGCTTATAATCAGGTTAAATAGATTGAAACTCTAAGGAGTTCCTGTTTATAAAATTGTCTCAAGTCATTGATACCCTTAGATAGCTTGAATTCTATTCCATTTTAAGAAATAATGTTTAGTAACTGTTCTTTTGGAGGGAGGAGAAAAAAGCTATTTAAAAGGGCTCTGTTACTTAAAATTGTAGCATAGTGCTTATCAGTGTATTAATTATGTAAACAGAGTGAAGAGCCAGATGGTGGTTTTGCTAATATGCTTCTTGTAATGCCTTACATATTTGTTAATTAATTGAAGTTGAAGAGAACAAAATCCTGTTGTATTTTTTGCTGTTGTTTTCAGTTGTGTTCTTTGAAGATAATGCCACAAAACTATGTATCTATCAGCTTTCTGAGTCTTTTTTTCATTGGTAGTCATGAGTTGGGTGAAGCTAACCATCCCAATAGGTCTCCTTTTATTACATCTAGTGCTTTTGCAAAATGATTGCCTTGGGTTTCAGGAGGCAGTTTTGCCTGTGGATCAGAACTTTTTCTAAAGAAGCTATATATGATATTATTCTCAAATCCGTAGCCTAACCGTCAGTAGCATTTGTACTCTCATCATCTAAGATAACTGGTTTTTACAGAGATTTTGCATGAAAATCAATTGGCAAATTTTAGGGAAAGCATGCTTTAAGGAGGTGGAGAATTGAATATGTCTACCTAAGTGTGATTCTGAATGAAATTCTCATAGCATTTGGTCCACAAGCCTTTAAAATGAGTCCCAAGTCTGCATCTTTAGGCCTCACTTCTTTCTGAGACCTAAATTTCTCATTTTGGGCTGCCACCTAGCCCCCTCTACCTGATTGTTCCACCAGCACCTCAGATGCATCATGTTGAACACTGCCAACTTTATTTGCAAATTTGATCCTTCTTCCTTTCCACTTCTTTATCTTAATGGTTCTGTTTTCCCAGTTCCCCTGATGTTGAATCAGAAGGCAATTTACTGTTTTATATGCAAAGCATTTGATAATTCATAGTAATCCTCAGTGGTCTCTTTTTTTTTCCTTTTTCAGTTCTCTTCACAAAAGGAAGCCATTGCCCAAAACTGTATATAACTTGCTTTCAGATCGTGATTTAAAGAAAAAGCTAAAACAGCATGGATTGTCTATTCAAGGAAATAAGCAACAACTCATTAAAAGGCACCAAGAATTTGTACACATGTACAACGCCCAATGTGATGCTTTGCATCCTAAATCAGGTAAAGTAATAAAACAGGGAATTATGCTTGTCCTCTGGATAAAGAGTTTTGTGTAGCTCAGGGATTATAAACCATAAAAAAATGTTTTTAGTAAATATGTTTTTGGGAATAGGTAAGACATGTGAACATATTCCTTCAAAAGGTACCTAGAATATAGTGTGATAAACCAGCCTTTCTCTCAGCCAGACTCAGTCCTCATTCCCTTCTCAGAGGCAGCCGCTACTGCCAGTTTCTTTTGTATCTTTCCAGAGATAGTGTGGGATGAAGAGTTCATTTAAACACCCTGGGTTGTGATCCCAGTTTTGTAGCTTCATGACTGCGTGACTTGGGCAAGTTACTTATTATCTCTGCACTTCAGTTTTCTCATCCATAAGCTAAGAGTTATACTACTACCTACTTCATAGTGTTTTTGAGAGGAATAAATGAGAAAATGCATGTAAAGTGCCCAAGAAGTACCTTAGCAAGTAGTTGCAATCAATGAATGTTGCCATAATAATTATTATTCACAAATATATATCCTTGATCATTATTGTTTTACAAAAATATTAGTATTATGTATACACTATTTAATGGTTTGTCCTTTTCATTTAACTACACGTATGTTGGAGTTGCTTTCAAGTATTAGCGTATATAGAATTGCCTAATGTTTTAAAAATTATAATATACAAACAGAAAAGTACACAAATTATAAGTGTATTATTTGGTGAATTATCACAAAGTAGACTTCGCGAAGGGAAAATGCCTTTGTAACCACTATTCAGATCACTACCAGCATCCCAGAAGCCCTGTCCCCTACCATCACTACAACCTTCATTCTCACAGATGACCGCCATCTTGATTTCTAACACTATATATGCATTTTGCCTATGTTTGATCTTTATATAAATGGAATAATAAATAGCTTATGTATTCTTTTGAGTCTGGATTTATTTGTATAATGTTATGTTTATAAGATTCGTCTGTGTTCTTGTGTACAGTTGTGATTTTTTCATTTTTGTTGCTATAGAGTGTTCCATTATATAAATATGTCACACTATTTATTCAATGGTTGATGGACATTTGGATTTTTCCACTCTTTGGCTCTTAAGAATAATGCTGCTATGAATAATTTTTTGCATGTCATGTGCACACAGGCACACAATATTTTTTGGATATTTTTACCTAGGAGTGGAATTGTTGTGTTATATTTCTGCACATGTTCAGCTTTCAGGATACAGCCAAAAACTCCATACCAATATACACTCTCATCAGGAGGGCATGAGTATTTTAATTTTTCCACATCCTTGACAACATCAGTATTGTTAATTTTCCATTTTGGCCATGCTAGTAGATCCATGGTGGTATCTCATTATGGTTTTAATTTGCATTTCCCTAATGATTTATAATGTTCAGCACATTTTTATATGCTTATTGGCCATCTGGATAGCCTCTTTGGTGAAATACCCGTTTAAATCTTATGCCCAATTTTTCTATACCGTGGATCTGTTTTCTTTTTATTTATTTGTGGTAGTGCATGATATTTTCTTGATACAAATCTTGCTGAATGTATGCATATTTAATCTCTCATTTCACCCTCTTGATGCCTTCATTTGAGAAGTAGAAGTTCTTGGCTTTAATATAATCCAGTTTGTTGCGTTTTTCCTTTTGGTTAGAGCTTTTTTTATGTCCTTACCTACCGCAAGATCATGAGGCTCTTCTCTTATTTTCTTCTAAAAGCTTTATTGTTTGTGCTTTTACAGTTTATCTGAGATTGATTTTAGCGTATGTTGTGAGGTAGAGGAGTTGTTTTTTTTTTCCGTATGGATAGCCAATTGGTGCAGCACCATTTATTGAAAAACATTCTTTCCCCACTGAATTGTTAGTGTATCTTGGCTGAGAATCAGCTAACTGTGTATGTGTGGGTCTGCACATTGTTTTGTTGCATTGGGTCATTTATTTATCTTTGTTCCAGTAGCATCCTGTCTTCATTACTTTGAGTAATTTGTGGTAGATCTTGCTATCTGGTCGTGTGGTTCCTCCAGCTTTGTTGTTATTCAGATTGCCTTGGTTTTGGTAGGCCCTTAGTATCTCCGTATAAATTTTAGAATAAGCTTGTAAATTTCCGTTAAGAAACAAAAACCTGCTTGGATTTTGACTGAGATTATGTTGAATCTCTACATCAATTTGGAGAAAGTCGCTATCTGTACAGTTTTTGAGTCTTCCAAACCATGAATTTGTTTTATCCCTTTAGCTGTTTTTCATTTCTGATAGTAATGTTTTACGGTCTTCATCATGAAGGGCTTTCGTACAGACTTATTCATTGGTATTTGATATTTTTGATGCAGTTGTAAGTGGTGTCCTATTCTAAAATGTCAATTTTTAGTTTTTTGTTGCCGGTGTATAAAAATACAATGGACTTTTATATATTGTCCTTGTATCCAGTGACTTGTTATATTCACTTTTTATGTGTGCATTTTTAAATTGAGATGTAATTTACTTAAGATATTCTTTTATTTTTTTTTTTTAATTTTTTAATTTTTTTTTTTTTTTTAAAGATTTTATTTTTTCCTTTTTCTCCCCAAAGCCCCCCGGTACATAGTTGTGTATTCTTCGTTGTGGGTTCCTCTAGCTGTGGCATGTGGGACGCTGCCTCAGCGTGGTTTGATGAGCAGTGCCATGTCCGCGCCCAGCATTCGAACCAACGAAACACTGGGCTGCCTCCAGCGGAGCGCGCGAACGTAACCACTTGGCCACGGGGCCAGCCCCTTAAGATATTCTTTTAAAATGTACAGTTAGATGAGTTTTGACAAATGTATGGATAGTTGTGTGGCTATCCTTTCAGTCAAAATAGAGTACATTTTCTTTACTCTCAAAAGTTCCTTTGCCCCTTTGCAATAAATTCCTTCCTCCATACCCTAAGGCCCTAGGAAATACTGATCTCTTTTATGTCCCTATAGTTTTGCCTGTTGTAAAATGCCAGATAAATGGAGTTATACAAATTGTATGGTATGCGGTCTTTTGTGTCTGGCTTCTTTCACTTAGCACAATGCTTTTTTCTTTTTTTTTAAACTATTTTTTTTCTGCTTTTTCTCCCCAAACCCCCTCAGTACATAGTTGTATATTTTAGTTGTGGGTCCTTCTAGTTGTGGCATGTGGGGTACCGCCTCAGCATGGACTGATGAGCAGTGCCATGTCTGCGCCAAGGATCCAAACCGGCAAAACCCTGGGCAGCTGAAGTGGAGTGCGTGAACTTAACCCCTCGGCCACGGGCTGGCCCCAGCACAATGCTTTTGAGATCTATCCATGTTGCTGCGTTTATCAGGAGTTCATTCGTTTTTATTGCTAAGCAGTGTTCCACTTCATGGCTGTACTACAATTTGTATATCTATTCACCTATTAATGGACAACTAAACTCTCCAATTTTTGGCTAGTATAGATAAGCTGCTGTGAACACGGGCTTACAGATCTTTGTATAGCCATATGTTTTCATTCTTGGCTAAATACCCAGGAGTAGAATCGCTGGGTCATGTGGTAAGTGTATGCTTACAAATATAAGAAACTGCCAAACTGGTTTTCAAATGGCTGCACCATTTTGCGTTGTATGAGAGATCCACATTCTTTGCATCCTGGTAACACTTAGTAGTTTCAGTCTTCTTAGTTTTAGCCTTTCTGGTGGGTATGTAGTGGCATCTCATTATGGTTTTAATTTGCATTTTGCTGAGGCTAATGCTGTTGATCATCTTTTCATGTGCTTATTTGCTCTTTGTATATTTTCTTTGATCAAGGGTCTGTTGAAATATTTTGTCCATTAGCATGTTTTTATTGACTGTAAGAGTTATTTATGTATTCTAGATACCAGTCATTTGTCAAATATATGTATTGTGAATATTTTATCCTAGGCTGTGGCTTGCCTTGTAATTTTTTTAATAGACTCTTTTGAGGAGCAGAAGTTTTTCATTTTGATGAAGTCCAGTTTACCACTTGTTTCTTTTATGGTTCATGCTTTTTGTGTTCTACCAAGAAATATTTGCCTATTCTGAGATCACAAAGATTTTCTGCTATGTTTTCTTCCAGAAGTTTTATAATTTTAGCTTTTACATTTAAGTGTATGATCCATTTCCAGTTAATTTTTCTATATGGTGTGAGGTGAAGATTAAGGCTCATTTTTAAAGATGTTGGATATCTATTTTTTTTTCCAGTACCATTTATTAAAAAGCTCTTCTTTCTCCATTGAATTACCTGGCCTCCTTTGTCAAAAATCCATGGACCCACATAGGTCTGTGAATATATCTTGAGTCTGTTCTGTTCCGTTGGTCCATATGTCTGATCTTTTACAATTCCACACCCTTGATTACTGTAGTTTTATTATAAGTCCTGAAGTCAGGTAGTGTAAGTCCTTCAACCTTGTTCTTTGTCAAAATTGTTTTGGCTATTCCACGTCCTTTGCATTTCCAAATAAATGTTGACTCAGTTTATTAATATCTACAAAAAAGCCTTCTGGAATTTTGATTGGGATTACATTAATAGATCAAGTTAGAGAGAATTGATATCTTAATGCTATTGAGTCTTTTAATACCAAAAATGTTCTATATTTATTTAGGTCTCTATTAGTTTCTCTCAGCATTGCTTTCTAGTTTTCTATGTACATGTCTTCCACATATTTTGTTAAATGTATCCCTAAGTATTTCATGTTTTTTTGTGCTGTTGTAAGTGGTGTTTTTTATTTCAATTTCTCATTGTTCATTACTGTTTTAAAGAATCATTTTGATATATTGATTTTTGTATATTTACCTTAACTTTTTAAGTTAATATTTGTTATGTTTATTTTTTTATTTATTTTTTTATTAAGGTTATGAAAGTTAGCATCCTTGTGAAATTACAGTTATACATCATTATTAGTCATGTTGTAGGTACACCACTTCACCCCTAGTGCCCTCCCCCCGACCCCCTTTCCCCTGGCAACCACCGATCAGTTCTCTTTGTCCATATGTTAACTACCACCTATGAGTGGAGTCATACAG